ATGTCAGAAGTTCCATCTCCATTAGGTTCTTGGCGACTCAAGGTTCTCAAACGTTGACGTTCCCACTGAAACTGAGTTTAAGACCTGCTGAGACTTAACACAATGCTGAGCAACAGTTAAAATCCATTCAGACTCAATAGGAACATCTAATTCAAAAGAATTAAATCAGTTAAAATCGAAAAAATCATTAAAACAAATTTAATGTGATTTCAAAGTAAGAAAATGTGAACACTACCCAATCATCTAGTGTATTTGTTGAGAAACATCTGTGAAGTGCCATGACGGTGATTATGATCCACTTCTCTGTTATCGTCATGGAAACTCACGTAACTCCTCTTTGTTACGTCAAGGACACAGATATTTCTTCTAGAGCTGAATCTATATCATGACCTTTCCCCCTGCTCTTTGCCTTTTCTATAGTCTACTGTCCAAGGGTGGTCATAGGAGGAATCTTTAAAGAAGCTTTATTACTGCTAAGTTCGGTTGAAGTGTCGTCCTACAAGTAATAGGAACTGAGCAGTTCTCTTTTCCTTCCTCCACTCTAATGTTCCAATTAGAGCAAGATATGACGACAATCATCAATATCTTTGTCTTTAATTCGTTGCCTTGAGATACATGATGTGGTATTACCTTTCGAAAGGCATCCGCTCCATAACCAATACGACATTGTAAACCAAGCGTTAGGTATCCATGTTGGGTTCTTATCAGGATCTGTTACTCCTACTATCCCAGAAAACCAGATGATCAGTCTTAAACCTGCCGGACTTCCAATAGAAGAAACTAAAGTTTCTTTATCATAAATCTCATGATGTTGACTATCTTCTGATGTGACTCAAAGCTCTTAAAATGTTCCAAAGAGGTTTTTTGTTTGTTGATTATTTTTCTCAAGAGCGAGTGCAAGTCCATACCTTATCTTCCTTTTATTATGCCAGCCTGAATTGTCCTTGAGGGGTCTTAGGCCTTTTCCATTTGGATTCAGTTTCCTACTCCCAGGACCATTTATAGTAAGACAGGTAAAGAGTGATTTTTTTCTCTTATTCTTTAGTCGTTTAAACGAACATACTGCGTACATCGTTCAAATAAAAGCTTCTGAAATCTTAGCCAAAGAAGGGTGCCAAGAGAACACTTCAAGATGTGGCTTTAAAAAAACGTAAGGAACGATAAAGAGTAACGAAACGCACCGTCTTTCGTTCGTCTTCTTATTTAGGGAACACAAAGCATCTAGATAGGAGTTAATTAATCATTCGGGGAGCAACGTTATGCACTAACAGTAAAGTAGACGAAAGGACAATCTTACTCATTACAGAGGTTGAAAGAGGACAACAAATATCGGCCCCTTCTTTCTCCACTCGGTGGAGGAACGAAACCAGTAAGCCGAAACAGCATTAAACAATTCATCTAGGTCAAATCAACCATCTATGCCGTCTCAAGTGAAGTATCCTTCTTTTTTGCGTAGTAGTGACGTAATTTCCGTTCCGGTTTTCTTGTCAGCAAGGGCGCCCTTCGTTTTGATTCTTGCTTGCGTCTCAAGTCAATTCATTTTGCTTCTTTGTTGAGGATTTCCCCCTAAAATTCAGCTTTAACTTCTTATCGCACTTCATTCAATTATCTGAAGAATCTTTTTTTCGCTTATTCAGTACCAATGCCAGTTACTCTCTGCTTTTTTTTTCGGTTTATCCACGTTTTATTCTCTGTCTTCTTTCTTCTTCTCTTCTAACTAACGAACATTTTATTATATGTCAAGCATTCGTATTTGGATCCATTTTCTTATCTTGCAAGTTCTGTGAAGACTCTCTCTATATCGCTGGAGCCAACTACAGCTAAAACCTATATATGCTATAAAACTAAGGGTCGACTACCACAGCCTTAAAATATATCTAAGCCATGCCCAGACTGTGGTCCATCTCCATGTGTTTGCCCCTCTCGACAACATCACATCTAGTGATAACTTTCTCCATTTCTTGGTTAATCTGTTTATGGATCCACGTGGCATTATGTATGTTCTTGTGTTAGTTTAGACAGTTCCCTATACTATTCGATTCCAAAGAGGTCCACAACGGAGTACATTTCAAAGTACAGTGCCTCTCCAATTAACGAAAGTAAGGATAAGACGTCACGAAACGTACCGTCTTTCGTTCGTGTGCTCATTTTTCAAGCAAAAGGTAGAGTGTAGATTAAATGTGCCTCTCTTCCTTAGGGAACACGAAGCATCTGTGTGAGTAAGAAATTTGAATACCGTTCTGAATTGTGTAGTCTTACAGCAGTCATTTTGTCATCAATAAAGCGATAGGAAGTCAAGTAGCATACGTCCCATGTAAGCCTTAACCAACAGGAGGATTGTTAAAGTAAAGGAGATGGAAGGACAATCCTACGATAATAGGTTTAAAAAGGCAAGAATTATTAGTCATTTAATTTCTCAGCGAGTCATTATTAGACAGAGCAAAATCAATAAGCCGAGACAGCATTAACCCTCTCAGCTCCTTCAAACTATCATTCTCGTCTCCAATGATGTATCGTTCCTTTTTGCGAAATTGCTTTCCCACATCTCCATCAGGATTTGGGCCTCATTCCTGTAACTTTATTCCTGCTTGCTTCTTAACTCAATTCTTCCTGCTCCTTGCTTGAAGCGTTTCAACTTCAATTCCGCTCTAACTTCTTTTCAAACATTATTTAATTCTCTGAATGGGAAACGGTTTGCTTTTTTCGTACCCTATTAGTCTCTTCTGTTTCTCTGCGAAATAACCACGTTTTATTCTCTCTCTTCTATGTCTTCCGTCGTTTCCCCTGCTACCTAACCAATCTTTTCTATGCATCTTGTATTCAATTTAGTGTCTTGCAAGTTCTGTGAAGACGTTCTCTTCATCACTATAACCAACCCTAGCTGGAACCTATATATAGAAGTAAGGGTTAAGATATATCTAAGCCTGCCATGACCAGATGGTGGTCCCTCTCTAACACATCTAGTAACGACTTTCTCCATTTCTTGCTTAAACTGGCTAGGGATTCACGTGGTATTATGTATGATCTTGTGCTAGTTTAGGCAGTTCCTTACTATCAGCTTGCTTTCAAAGGGAACTACTTAGCATTCCCTATAGCACGTTAAAGGACCAGCATGCTTTTACAGTGCATCAAGGACCTTCTTCGGCTCTTAATAAAACATATCTCTGATTTTCTCTTCCAGTTCCTTATTTGGTACATGCTGCAAATATGTCATCTTGAGTAATGTAGTATTAAGATTTTTCTACCATTACTTTCTCGCTCATCGATTCTTAGGACGCTGCTCCTTTCACTTTCGGTGTCATCTTCTCCTGATCGTAATAATGATCAACCATTAATCTTAGGTAATATCAGCCCTTGTGAGTTAAACCAATCAATCTCAAGTCGTTATGTTCTTAGTTACGATAGTTCGGCGACTTAAATCCCCTTCTAAATGTCTTTATTCTCGTCTTGTTATGCACTGTCTCCGAAAGTACAAGGAAATTTAAAGCCAGGTTCTTATCTTCCTTGACATCTTTGATTATCCGTTCTCTGAAATGCTCTTCAGGTCTTCACTTTCATCGTGTTTAGGATTAATTCTCTAGATTTGCACCAGGCTACTAGATATTTAAAATCAACCACAACTTATCGTCCTTAACCTGTTAATTAAGGAGTTTTAACAAAGGCCAAGCGGGGCATACATCCCGTTAGAAGACGGTTGGTAGTTAATGTGCCGTCTGTTGCACATCAAGAGATTATTAAGATCAGCGGAGAGATAACCTTTTAGAAGTCTGAGAAGTCTTGAATTTTAGTCTAATCTAAAGGCGAATAAGGGTGTCTTGTTCGGTGTAAAGCTCCAACGATTTATCGTCCAATATACAGTAAAGAAACATTTGAATTTCATTTCTGATAATCTTTGAACGCCTGTTGGTCGTCTACTTGTCGTATTCAACGTGAGTAAATGTCAAACATTATTTAATGTACATTCCACATAGCACGATGAAATCGGGTGGGCGTGGTCCTGAATAGGACTCTTGGCGGCAATAGTGGCCGTACTGGCTTTTCGATTCATCATCAAAGTCAAAGTGAATACTATTGAACATGTCTTGAAAACCCGAACACACCAATCACTTTTTTCGTCATCGTTAGAGCAAAGGCAATAAGCATAAATTCGATTTTAAAATTCTCCAATCGCTAGGAAACAGACAGATGGTATAGCAAAGTACAGATAAGCGGAGTTTCTTCCTTGAAATGAGCTTGTATCTCCAGCTTCTTTTAAGTCTTTCATCTCAGTTTGAAGATGAAGTCTTTTAGCTTAAGGTTAAACATGGGAAGAATGTGACTCTCTTTCTCAAAGCTCTTGATATCCATATTAAGATATAAGGCGAAGACAACAAGTATGAATAACATAAAAGAATCTGCTGATCTTAAGCTTTCCATGCATCGTTTAGAAAGAGTAATGATAGTGTGCGAATGCTATTAATCGCCTCTAATCCATTGGTAGTACCGGATTAAAATATCAGTGTCCTGCTCCGAAACGTACAACAGCAAGGAAAGATTTCAACTCCCATCTTGAAGGTTTACATTTTCAATGATAAAGGGAATGCAGTAAATGTAAAATCCTCTAACTACAGGGAACAGTGGTCGCTGACAGTAAAGCCAAAGGATTTTACCCTAACGTAAGGAAAGTTGAAGTGTTTGAATCCACATCGGGAAGTCTTTCCCGACACATTTATTTCATCATCGTTTAAGGAAATGTGTGGAGGCGTGGGTGGCTGACAGGTTAACACCTCGAACTCCAGATCTGGAGCTAGGCCCGGGGTTCAAGTTTGGCGTTGTTTCCTTAGACAAGAAACTTTACTTCACCTTGTCTCTCTTCACTCAGCTGTATTAATGGGTACCGACGACATACTGCTTAGGGGTAGCCCTTCGATGGACTAGCATCCCGTCCAGGAGGGAGTAGCAATACTCCTAGGCATGCTTCATGCTAAGGAAACCGGGATATGCTCCCGCCGTCTCGGTCTTTAGCTAGTGTGCGCCCTTGCCTTACTTTTGAGGAAAGGTTGACAAAGTTCTTCGAAGCAATGAGTTTGCGATGGGCCTCTGTATTTCGTGCTCCTTGCTCGCCTTTTGTGGCCGGTTCGTCTTAGGAGTCTAGAGAAAAGGCTCTGAGACTGATTATCATTAAAACCTCTTGTTCCTTCGTCCTGAGAGACGGAGGCGAGAGTAAAATGCAACGATATGTTTCCAGTAATTCTGTAGACTAGGAAAAAGGTGATGACCTTAAATCGCTCAAACCAAAATCAATGGTTTATAAGAAACTCCTGGGGACTAGAGGGGCCGTTAGAGAGAAATTTAAGCGTGCACCTTCCAAAGTATGACATGGCGAGGGTAAAGACACAATGAATACCACTGAAAGTTCTCATCTAGGGAACAGAAAGTACTGAGAAACTGTAAACTGTGGAAAGTCTTTCAAAGCTTGAAAAGATTCTGGTATTTTAGAAAGGAGGATAAGTACAAGTTCTGTTTTCTGCTTTCGAACCTAAAAGAAAGGTAACAAGTTCTGATTCCCTTTAGTCGTTTCGAGTTTGTAGCTGAGACCTCCTAATACTTTTCCTGTACGAAAAAAATGACAAAAATTCTATCGGAAATTAGTGCGAAAACGACAGATTTGTAGTTGTCATTTACATATCGATTCTCTTTACGACTACGCGCAAAGGAAATGTTCTTCAAACTCTATCATTCACGGACTGATATAATGATTTGGAGAAAGAGATATGACTAGCAGTTGACATCAATCTCTCTTGAGCCTTTTGTGGCGTCTAAGAGGAACGTTTTTAAGAAAAGTACGATTTAATCAAAGATAATAAATGGGTTTGAATCCCATGTTTCCAATACTCTCAAACAATCTTTCTTTTCTTACGTAAATAGGAAATTTCTTTTGCAGAAGAAAATTCCACCGACCTACAGCCTTTTGTAAGGGCATTCTTCGCAAATCACAAGTTTTAGTATGAGTGGACCATCCTTGTAATTTACTTCACACTACACGGTTAAATAAGTTTTGCAAATACATTTCAGCGCAGAAAAGATCCTGGGTTTGAATCCCAACGAAATGTATGCTGTTGTCTTCAGTTCCTCTTTTTGGTAAACCTTGAATGGGTTTTAATCGCATTGCAAACAAATTCCTCCACATATCAGTCTTTTTCATACTTACACTTCTACAACAACCTCGTTCGCAGGGCTTTTTCTCTTATTTAAAGGAAAAAGCCTTGGGAACAAGGTTGTTCTGTCACGAATGCTGTCTTTAGAAAACTCAGTTGGGCGTGACGACTACAACACAAAACTTTCCAAACTGCAAAATAAACGCATACCAAAATTAATTTGATAACTTAAGATGGCATTTATATTTCTTACCTTAAACAGGCGAATTCCTCAACAGGCCATTCGCCTTTCTTCAAGGAAAGCGTCTAAACGTTTCTGTCGTCAGCACATCTTGAAACGCCCGGGCACCTGTCTTTTACTGGCAGGCTGTTGAGTCTCTCTAGACTACTCCTAATGCATGAAGGCTGATGGCTAACCACTTGACCTTCTTTCAAAAGGCAAATCTTGAACGCTTGCAGCTTCGAAATTATCATCATCCAGAGGTGTATGTATTATGTTGCGTTGTAACATCGTCACATCCTCTTGTAAGCAAAACTTTCTCCTCCTTCGCTTAAAGCAAAAACAAAGACTTCTAGAACAAACTGATTACAACCAAAATACATCCAAAGCCTTGCGACAGAAAAGAAATCCTGGAAAGGAAATGTACCTGAAACAAATTTTCTCTTAGGTTAGTAAAAATACCTAAATGGTATTGTTCTAAAGGAAGAAGATGCACAGCTATGGTTTTGTTATTCTTTATTATTGAACTGATTACAATGTTACACGCCTTATTACAATTATGCGCAGCCATCGCGTATCGCATTCCAAGAAAAAAAACCTGACAAGCAAACGTTTCCTGAAATAAAATTTTTTAGGTTAGTACGTATCATTGCTTTTAAAGAAAAAGACGTCAGCTATGTTTTTTGTTCGATTTTATTGTTTCTAAAAAAAGTTACAGCACTGTACATGGCTAATGCTTGCTGGCAGAGAAAAGAGAAACTGAAAAAAACTCGTGAGATCCTCCTGAAACAAAACGACCGGTTAGTGCTTTTAGTTTATAATTAAGTAATTGTTTAACTAAATTAAGAAAAGACACAAGACAACATTATTTGATATTTTTATTAAATGTAAGAATAGTTTACACAAATTCAAGTCAATGAGAGCCGGAGATGAAACGCGCTCCTATATGAAAAATTTGGCATCCAGAGTACTCAACCGAGAAGTGTTCACGTGTCCCCATAAAACTTAATCGACACCTCGAATGAAACACTCCAGGGTCCCCTGGATGGTACATGCGCAGAATTAGTAACGGCTGCTATCGACACTTTGTCGATACCAAGCCTTGCTGTGAAGAGAAGCCGAAATCGATAAAAACACCGAAAGCCGAACTGAATAAAACCGAACGACAAACCGAACCGAAAGCGACGAGGCGGTAAACTATATACATTATTCACTCACCTGATGCCACCGTCAAGTGTTGTACTTGAGCCTATTATCTTTGGTGCAACGTTTGCTAAAATTCCGTCATCTGTACGATTTGATTTATGTAGCACATTTATTGGGAAATTTCTGCAAATTTCTTGACGACAAACAGTTTTAGCGAAACGTTGTACCAATTAAATCTGCTCTACCTTAAATATGGGAGCTGTTGTCTCCATCCAGACGCGGCTTAACCATAGACTAAAGCTTCTTGTACAGGGAATATTGAAGTGCTGCATTGGCGTAATCCAGGCGGTGAGTTGTAGATACTCCAGGCGTTGAAGTTCGGCCAACCAATTATTTAAGTACTACTATGTAATATAAGTACCTATCTACCTAAGCTCATTGGGAAGGTACTTTGGGCTCCAGTGTTAATATCCTCCATTATAGTTCTTGGTGCTCCGTCATTATTGCAGTATCAGCCACTTAGTTTACTTAACCAACTATACGCTAAATGACTAGGCGAGTCTTCGGTCGGCCTCTTCCTTTTTCATTACATAGGTAGAAAAAGTCAGGAACGCCATGCGGACAGTCTGCTTGTAGTACTACCATCGTGAACCAATTATCGCGGGATGTCGACGCGAAGAATGAAGATTACCTGCGCCTACTATTTGTAGACGATAAGTGCCTGCGTTGTGCAATGCAGGACTTCCTAACAGGAAATTCCTCCCACAAGGCAAGATTAACAAAAAGACACACACGATTGTCTCATTGCTAGGCCCGCTTTAGCAAGAAAATTTTCCCATTTACCCTAAATCTCTGTAAACTAACTATAGCACGCCAAGCAGACACAAGAGCTATACAGGACCTTGGCGCTTGTGATACAGGCAAGGGAAAGACCAGAAGATCTCTCTTCATCAAGCGAGTCCCCCACGCGCACGTCCTGATTTTCTCTTATGACACTCTCGTAGCGCTGCTAGGCAAGCTACTAGCTTTAACATCTGCTCGTCGCGATGCTGATCCTCTGATCTGATGATGTGTCCATCTCGTAGACTGGGCTGGAGGGGTTTTTCAATATCTAACCTATGGTGTGTGCGTTGTCCCATTTCACCCTTCAGGAAACCTGCGACAAGGCGTTACCTTTACGTGAAGAACATCCCGATCGCAAGCAACCTCAAATGTGTGACTAGTTAAGAATTCCCTAAACTGATCTACACTCGCAAAAAAGTGGTGAGGATACACCTTAGTCATTACCAGTTTTGTTTTTTCACAGCCATTATTACTTTTTTAATGTTTTTGGACAATAAAATTTAACGTCAAATCTAATGTTTCTTTTGTCTCGATTTGATCTTTCAGCTCCGAACTGAATTTTTGACAGGTGAATACCAAACCACATTTGCGAGGCTACTCTAACTAACTGCCTGCAACTAGAGAAACCACTAAACGTGCAAGGAGATGCCAAATAAGGTCTCCATGCAGCAGCTGAATGGCCTTATGCCTCTAGCTTTCTAAGTTATACTTTAATAGAAATCTGGTTGAACCTTACTAATAAAAACTTCACTTACGCAGCGTTTAGTCTGGCAAGTAAAGTGTGACAGATTAATTGAATTTGGCGCAACTAGGCAGAAACTTGCGATGACATCCACGATGATGATGACGATGACGGAGCCGAAAGATCACCGTAGTCAAGCCGAACTATAGAAACTGCGAAACGAAGTTGAGCCAATTGATGACCGAATAACCTGCAAAGGAACCCATTGAAAAGGAAAAGGAAAAGGGGAGGAGCCTTACCTCACCAGGGGACCCGTTAGTACTTAACTATAATTACATTAAGCCGAAAAGGAAGTCCGCTGACTTCAGGCCGAAGGTGTGTGGAAAGTATGCTTTGTAAGGTTCATCCAGAGCTTTATGTATTATCCTCCCACTACCCGCCCAATGTGACTGACCAGAATATTCGACGCTTCTCTCATCAGGGGACTGACTGGTTTCATTTTCCTGTACTCATTTGAAGGAGTGCAAGCTTTCTTGTATGGGAAGGTGGGTTGTATTTCCATGTCCATTGGGTGCGCGGAGACGCAAGCTTCTCAAACGTTGATTTTCACACCAAAAATACCTCTTGGCGACCTGCTGAGACTTAACACAATGCTGATCAACAGTTAAAATCCATTAAGACTCAAAGGAATATCTAATTCAAAATCAATTAAAATCGAAAAAATCATTAAAACAAATTTAATGTGATTTCAAAGCAAAAAAATTGAATACTACCCAATCATCTAGTTCATTTTTTGATAAACATCTTTGAAGTGCCACGACGATATGTGTCTGAGTCCAATTCAAATCCTTCGCCTTTTGTGTTATGATCCACTTTTCTGTTGTCGTCATGGAAACTCAGGTAACTCCTCTTTGTTACGTCAAGTCCTTTCTCTTTTGTCGAAGGACACAGATATTTCCCGCCAAATACTACTTCCAGATATTTCCCCCAGCTGAACCTATATCATCGCCTTTCCACCTCCTCTTTGTCTTTTCTATAATCTACTGTCCAAGGGTTGTCAGTGGAGGAGTCTTCGAGGAAGCTTTGTTGGTGCTAAGTTCGGTTGAAATGCTGTGCTATGAAGGTGCCTCATTATTAGTGGCTGAGCGTTTGTCCAGTGTCCTTTATCGCTTGTAATTCTACCACATCCTATGATTTGCAGTACTCTTCTTAAGCATCTATCATGAAATGCTGCTAGCCTTTACCTACCTCCTCCACTCTAATGTTCCAATTAAAACACGATGTGTACATAACCGTGTTAAGACAATCAGATGGCATGGGATATCTTTGTCTATGAGTTCATTGCCTTGAGATGCATGATGTGTAAAACAGGCATTAGCTAGGTATCCATCCTGGGTCTTACTCCTACTATTCCAGAAATCTCGACGATCAGTCTTGAATCTGCTGACTTGCGAATAGCAGTAAGTTTCTTTGTGATTAATCTCTTGATGTTGACTATCTTCTGACGAGACTTAAAACTCTCAAAATGTTCCAAAGGGATTTTTTGTTTGTTAATAATTTTTCTCAGAAGCGAGTCCATAACTCATCTTCTTTTACTACTCCTGCTTGAATTTTTCTTGAAGGGCCAACTCCCAGAACAATTTATAGTAAGGCGGGTAAAGAGTTTGATTTTTTTTGTCACTCATTCTTCAGTCGTTTAAACGAACATTAACTGCGTACATCGTTCAAATTAAAGCCTCTGAAGTCTCAGCCAAAGAATTGTGTGAAAAGTACAGTTCAAGATGTGCCTTTCAAAGTAACGTAAGGAAGGAACTGGATTAACAAAACGTACCGTCTTTCGTTCATGCTCTGATTTATCAAGCAAAGTACAGAACAGCAGAATACACTGAAAACGCCTTTCTTTCTTAGGCAACACAAAGCATTTCAGAGATAGGAGTTAATTATTCATTCGGAGAGCGAAGTTGTGTAGCGTAGATCCTATGAAAGCCTTCAGCAACAAAAGCACAGTAACACTAAAGTAGACGGAAGGACAATTTTAGTTTTTCAGTGGTTGAAAACGGGCAAGAAATATCGGTCCCTTATTTCTTTATTCGGTGTAGGAAAGAACCAATAAGCCGAAACAGCATTAAACCACTCTTCTAGGTCAAATTAACCATTCTTGTCTCCAGTGAAGTAACCTTATTTTTTCCGTAGAAGTGACGTAATTTCCGTGCCGGTTTTTGCTGTCAGCAAGAGCGTCCTTTGTTTTGATTCTTGCTTGCTTCTCAAGTTAATTCATTTTGCTTCTTTGTTGAGGATTTCCCCTAAAATTCAGCTTTAACTTCTTATCACACTTCATTCAATTATCTGAAGAATCTTTTTTTGCTCTTTCAGTAGCAATGCCAGTTACTCTCTGCTTTTTTTCGGTTAATCCACGTTTAATTCTCTGTCTTATTTCTTATTCTCTTCTAACTAACGAAAGTTTTTATTATAGGCCAAGCATTCGTATTTGAATCCATTTTCTTATCTTGCAAGTTCTGTGAAGACTCTGTCTAGATCGCGGGAGCCAACTCAAGCTGAAACCGAGATACTAAAACAAAGGGTCGGCGATACCGCTGCCAGACAGGATTGTGGTCCCTCTCTATGTTTGCCCCTCTCGGCAATAACACATTTAGTGATA